ACGGACTTGTAAGCTACTGGTAGTCCATGGGAGTTCAGTATTGCCCCTGCGTAAAGATTTGGGTTATATGATTCGTGTTTGTACAGTGCAATTTCCGCAAAGGTAGCAATTGTGATGTTTCTTCTATGGCGTCAATACTCGAATGCAATGAAAGGGATTCGAATGAAAACCTTACTCCTCGTACGCCTTCAGCATCTTTGGCACCTGCCATGCCTCGATCCCGTGGTGAAACGCGGTGATGCGGACACCGAATTCGTGCATGACGTTCAAAATCGTCTCAAAATCTTGCGGCTCGTAGCAGTGATTGTGCATCTGTGCTTGCCCACGAAGAAGAGCTATTGTTGATTCGAGTTCGAGTTGTTCTGGATAACCGCCTTTCTCTTCGATATAGCGGGTTTTAGCGATGACCCCATGGAGATGAGGTGCAGCACTGCACCATATCTCTTGCGCTTCCAGCAGCTCCTGTGCACGCGTCAGGTGCTCACGCAGTATATACGCGAGAGCCATGCGGGTATGCTCGTAAATGCGCTTTGGGTTCTCGCCACAAGCAAACTTCATGTACCGGTGTCGATCTTGAGGTGCCATCCCGTGCTCGAGGAGCATCCCTTCTACTACGTATTCCCCAAATTCACCAGCTTTCATCAGGTTCTTTACAACTGTCCCTTCTCCGCCCATGATATTCACTGAGCCGGGAGGAATTAGACTAGATGTGATGCCTCCAGAAGCGATCATTTTTGTCGCCTGATCATAGGCCTTCAATGACTCCTTGATCCGAAGAAAAGGTGTTATGGGGCCAAAGGACGAACGTATCTCTTGTGACTTATCAGCTCTACTCAAATCCTTAACTTAGAGCATTCCCTAAGGTAGCGACCATCTTACCATTTCCGTCTCCCGCGGTTGCCTTCAGGGATGGCCAAGACTCCGACAGGTGATGCGAGTGCATATCCACAAGCCCAGGTGTTACATATCTCCCGGCGAAGTCATACTCTTGACCCGATGTCGATATCGAAGTCGCAGCTGAAGATGGGGCTACCATTGAAATTAGCCCTTTCGAGAAGATTATGTCCACAGGGCCGGATAGGAATGATTCTCCATCAAACAAAGTTGCATTGCGCAGTACGACCGTCTCATTCTGGCCGTGCACATGATTCCACCTTGGGTTCTGCTTGCGAGTCTCTGGAGACGGCTTTACTGGGGAATGGTTGCGCGATGCACACCGTCTCAAAGACTGCTCAAACTTATGAAGAATGATAGGCTCAGACGCGTTTGATGTTAACCCCAAGATCGGCAGTTGGCGTTCTAGCCAGAGGCTGAGATAAAAGATCGTGGCGATGAGCGCCATTGTACGGAGGGGTGGGAATGGGCACGCTCGCTTGATGCGCCGCCGATTGAACCATGGTCGTTGCGCATTGTATTCATAGGGATCTGGCTCAAATGGCGGTGCAAATGTGCCTCCAACCGGTTTGTCCTTGAAGGAATAGTACATGTTGATAGGCCTATGTAAGTAACCTGATGCTACCACGCTGTTCAGCTCCCAACCAGGTCAAGCCCAAGTGGAAAATGGAGAAAGGCATACATCTGCGGGGCGAAACATATATCCTCCAAATCTACACAAGTTGGAGCCTAAATGACGTGATTGGCTGTGGAAATATCACAGGGGTGGAAGAAGCTGTGACTAACACATTTGAAGCAATACCTAGGTACGGAGTAAGATTACGCCGCGCATCCAATTTGGTTGCGTTTCACAAGCACGTTTCCAGCATTCGACTTGGCGAGTCACATGTAGTGCATTCTTGAAATTCTTGGATGTTGGCCGGCGTACACGCTATAATACATTATTAGTATGGGTGGCTTAAATCAACTCGTTGTGCTCAAGATATATACGATAGTCAATTGCGTTGTTCATGTTGGTTTGACATGAGGGCCTCTGCATAACCATCATAGAGAGTGTTGCCGTCCAAAATATATGTTTATATATATCTAATATATAGGCATATTCAGACAGAATCATGCAGATAAACCTAGTTGATTATGTAAATAGTTATTCGATACCCCAGAAGTAGAAAGGCTTGCATTCTTCCTCCGCCATTAGTGTCAATGGTATTCTGTAATTGCTAATGTGTTAAAGGTCACCGTGTATTCTATATTATCTCAACGCAGACATATGGTGAAGGATTAAACTTCAGTTGTCTTGTACTTGCATATCGCCCATGATATCTTCAGACTCAGCATGAAGACATCCACATCGCTGTGTGTGCTGGATATGTTCATAATATTGTAGCCACATAATCTACATACAACCACTCATGTAAAGATAGGAACAGAACTCTTTCACACACGATCTTAACGCGTTTAATCTCTTACGTCGAAATCTAGCGTGGATAGATTATTAGTTTCATTGTGCTCTTCGTGTCATGCAGGATGTACGTACCTCAATAATGGCTGGGCCAGCAGCAACCGAATCGTCTGTGACGGCTGTGTTTCCTCCGTTGAGAACAACATAGGTCTGCCCGGCAAAGCCCGGAGGGATCACGGCAGAGAAGCCGCTTCCAGCTGGCGTGGCCTCGGCGAATACGGGGCCGGTGACGCCGATGAAGGCAACATAAACTTTGCCATACTTAAGTGCGCTCGCGTTGATCCAATTCTGCACTGCGTATTAGCCACCAGGGGGGAGACTTGACAAAGTGAAATCGATTAGCCAAAGGTTTTAGTACTTACAGGTGCCAACAAAACAACAGTGTCTCCTGCCTTGACCGGTACAGCTGCAGGAGGAGCGAGTGTCAAAGCCGGGAACGCCTTAACAGGCAAGGCCGGATTACTTTTGGGGCACGACTTGATAAAGGACGATGCGAGCGAGTACACTTCGTCCAGCGACAATGGCGTATCGAATGACTGGGGGTAAGGCGACTCGCCGAGATTAGCTCGCAGGTAGGCAGAGTGTCGCGCCTCCACGGTCAATATGGAGCCGGCTGCGGTCAGGTACGACTTGGACGCGATGCTGGCGGCGGCACCAAGGTAGGCCGAGACGCCCACGCCCTCGAGGACCGAGGCAGTGGCCAAGAAGCTAACGACGTCCGTGTAGCCAAAGTCGTAGGTGCATTCAGCAACCGGTGTGGCGCCGGCGGCTAGTGGGAAGGGGTGAGCGATGTTAGCGAGACTCAAAACATTTTGATTTTGATTCTTTGGGCTTGATAATGTCGTTCCCATAAGAAGTACGAATCGCAGAAAATTACCTGTCAGAGCATTTGTGAGGAAAGAGACATGATTTGACTCATCGCTGGCCACCTCTTGGAGGTTTGCGTAAAACGTTGCGTCGAACCCGGCAGCGGCGAAGTCCTGCTGATTGAACTCAGCCAGCCCTTGCCGGTAGAACGTGTCCTCGAGGTGCTCCAAAGTTAGAGCATAGTTGAGAATATCGGCTGTTGAATATCCTGTCAGCTCGAAGTTATGGTTGCGGGGAAGCAAGGGCAAGTAGTTGTTTACCATCAGTGACACCTGTTCTCTTCTGAACTGCCGGAGCAGGAGCAGCACTGACAAGGCTTACACCCGCCACAGTAAGAGCAACTGTGAATAAATACATTATGTTAATTAAACCCAAAGGTCAATATTATAGTAGAAGTAAATGAATATGAAAGATATTGGAAACCAGTAAGTTTATTGATTGCATTGACATTTATTTTCTGCACAGAGTATGGCCGGTCGAGTTATTATAAGGTTGGACTACTTGGAGAACAGATGGTACTCAGGTGTTCCACGATTCCGTCAGAAGAACTAAACATTCAGTATGGCCGTCATCATATCCTAACCTGTGTGTCTCCAATACCGAAATACCACTACCGGGGGCATTTCGGACCTTAAAAGGCGTAGGAAAGCTTAACGCTATGCTTCCAGGGCGTTACCAACTGTCCGGAATGAGGAGTATCCGAGACCTTCTAGTCACTCGACATCGGATGTCTTAGGAGCTTTAGGAATTTTGGGTTTCTTAGTGTAGAAGGGTAAGTGTCGATCGATTTAGTAATAACGGATACTGACAGTGCCGGTGGTCTAGAGCGCCACCGATTCAGCTTACCAAGGTAAACTGCACATCTTCTACTGAATGGGCAATAGTGGCATAAGAGGTTTAATCCTGGAGAATGATTAATGATCCATAAACGGTCGATTGTACCAGCACTGGGGACACCAACTAGTTCGCATTTTAATATATTGACTTTTTTATTAGAATTGTATTGCACAAGACTCTATTCCTTAGTCACCCAATTCCCCAGCCCCCGTCAGGATTGATCACGCTGCCTCCCTTCACAGGCAATGGACCAGTGTTTCCATGTTCTTTCTTACCAGGCAGATCCTGTGCACAGACACTCCCAATGCTCAGTACTAAAGTGGTGGTCTGAAGGTCTAGTTTTGAGCCTATGATCAAAGATTATCGACTCAATTTGAACAGACTGTAAGTGACCATATTATTATAAGGGGTTAACCCTCCAATGGCTGATTACATACACCCTTATGGGTCAAGGCCAGAAGGACATCGGTAAACAGTGCGCGTTCAGATCCAAATTCACAAATTTGGAGACATCTAACTCGAGTTATTCTAGCTACATTAATGGCAGAGCAAGCATATCAACCCTAAAAAGCAATGTGGTTACACTCCCATAATGACTACCTGGTTTATCTAGTGTATAACCGTTTCTTCAGAACCAGGACGGCGGTGCCTTATATCTCGTCAGAAATTGAAGTGTCGTGTGGATCTCTCTATATAATAGACTCTTCGGTCGCACTAAGTTAAGAGCACGTGCAGAATCTAGCTCATACAGCGCAGCCCTAACTAATTGGGAGAGCCCAGTTGCCAAATCAGGATTCGCGCCCACGCTGCGCACGGCTGACCCCCCTCCTCTCCAAAATAAAAAAAATTTCACCAATAGGTCAAAATTGGGGTTGCATACCAAAACGGAACACCACTCCTAGGTTTTTGCTCGGGGAGCAGATTTACCAAAAAAAGATGTTGCGGTCTGTGTGGATCGAACACACGACCTTCAGATAGACGGTGAAGTTTTGACTTCAGTCTGACGCTCTCCCAACTGAGCTAAGCCCGCAAGCTGTTAGTGATTGGATTGCGCTTTAAACAAACTTATGGGCCGTACAAATTCAGTTACGTACAGAGGTACTCCGGCTAGTAGGTCTCTGTACCCAGGTTCCACTTCACATATTAACTAAATTGGTTTCGGCATAGTATAACCATAAATTCATTCAAATGCTAATAAAACGCTGCAAGTGAAAATAATAGCAGTTCTACGGGAGGCAACACGGTCGAGTCTAGGATTAACCTTATCACGCCTGAACACATGTCTATTTTTTTCTTTTGAAATTTCATTCTTATTCATTCATATCGTCCCTATATTTATCAAGACATAGTACGCCTGATCGCTGTGGTATGAAGATGAAAATTTGAAACCCATCAATGGACGTACCTTGGACCATCTCATTGTGACTGGGCACTTCCAGCTTATGAATGTTCTTCTCAGGCCACTCTCGTTGTTCAAAATTGTATGTGTGCCGCCAATCAATAATATACCACCCTAGAGGCAGACAGACACTGCCGGACCAAGTTCAACTTCAGGACTTATGCGTGTTGATTCGGACTCCAGCGTGGCGCCATGCTGATCTTAGCATCCGCCCATTTCTTATCCCAAGAGACGCCCTTTACAGGCGCGGAAACAGACGAAGTCATGGAGAAGATAGACTTCTTACCCGCGTGGTCCTTTTGCTTCCAGGCCTCCTTGATTGCCAGCACCAACTTGTCTTCGCCGCTGAACTTCTTCTTCTTGAGAGACCAAGATTGTAGAATTTTGATCAATGTCTCATCGTCGACTGCTATCGTGATATCTGCTGCACCCGTAGCACCAGACGCATCGACGCCAGTAAGACTGTCCTCCTGGTCGAAGCGGCCGCTTTGGAAGTGTGGCACTGGCACGCCTCCATGACTTCCAGACCCCGTCATAGCACCTGCAAAATCGATGCGGGCCTCATGAAAGAGGTACGTGTGATCGAAATCAGGAAAGATGAGCATCACGGTCAGGGGCAGCGAGGTTTTGCTTTCGCCCGGTCCTCGCGTCTTGATGAAGTTTTCGATCACCTTCAGAGCTTCGGGTCCGACGTGAGACCCTGTCACATGACCGGCTACATTCTGAGACATGGTAAAAAGGTAGTTCTTAAAGTACTCTAGACTCTTTTCCCAAAGTTTGTGATGTTTGTGATTACTTGAGATGGCTTGGAGTAAAGAAGTAAATCGGTGACGCGGTAGTTATGACTAAACGAGGAGCTATGAGTTATAGAATGGGTGTGTTTCAATGATGAATTTATAGTTTGGTTCCAATTGCGCCGAACACATAATCAAGTTATGGGGCTTACTCATGTACCCGCATGCAGCCTATCAGTGTAACCCAGGCGTCCAATACTATAGAGTGTACTGACGTACGGAATAAGCATCATGGCGTGAATGAATGGTCTGGGTTGAGGTCTACTCCGGTAGTTTTTTGAATTATTCACATTATCACGGCATGTAGCTGAGAGCAGGTGGACGTCATCATTTTCCGAGTCCAATAGATTCTATGAATAGGCAAGCCACACATGCCTCTTTGTTATGGGTACTTGAGGACCAGTTCGAGAGAGCTGGAATTCTTGAAAAGCATCTCCCTAGCGCTCTCGTAAGCTTCGTATGGCCGATGCCAGGAAACAATACTAGACAGCTTACCTAACGATGGATATCTGATGGGCATGCAGTCTGCGTAGGCGACCTGCGATGGCAGATCAAACATTATGTTCTCGTCGGTGACATGCCAGAGGTGTCTTTAAAAGGACCACGACACAGGGTCTATCACGACGGCGAATTTAGCGGCGAATCTGATTCACATTAATCCCCAATAACTTGGTTATCATTAGATACAACGAAGACCTTTGGGAACAGCAGCTATGAAATCGTTTCGTATTCTAGCTGGTATTATTTTTCCCGTTTTTTCTATTCTTGGAGATCATATGCCGAACTTGATAATTACTTCGGGATAGGCAGCACGATCTGCGTTGCACAGTGAACAGCACCTTTGGTGGCATAATACACCCAAGCACCTACAATCTGCTGCAAGTGACAAAATTACATCAAGCTCCAATAACAGAGCAGTACTTGGCAAACTCTGGGTCCGTCCGCACGCGTTCCTGGCACCCGGCCTCTAAGACAAGATAAATATCAAAACCTCCGGGGTCCGCACCAATCCGGTTTCCCGGCAGCACCCCGAGCAGGCCATCGAAAGGCACGGCCGACACGCGAAACGATACAGGCAGGCCGAATCCGAAGTCATACTTCTCCATCACCTTCATGCCCGCCAGGCTGCTGCCCATGGCGTTCTCTGGGTGCCAGATCCAGCGCATCTCCTCGACGTCGCGGATGCCGTGGATAGCGTTGACCATGTTGGGGATGGTGTCGACGGTGCAGGTCTGCGTCGACCGGCGGATGAGCTGCGCGCCCCTGGCGATGCCGACCTCGCCGTCGATGAGCTCGGAGACCAGGATGCGCTTGGTGGCGATCATGACGGCGCCGTCGCCAAAGTACTCATCCGGCACGACGCCGCCGCCGAACTTGCCTCGCGTGTCCACGGGGTGGGCGTACGAGGTCGTGGCGGTGGCCAGGTCTAGGTTGAGATACGGGATGCGCGCCCGCGTCATGGCGCACCAGGTGGCTGCGCATATCACGTCGTAGGATGAGACGAAGTCGATGCCGGAGCCGGGCGCGGGCTGGCAGGTGCGCTTCAGCTCTTCGCACACCGACTTGGAGAAATGATACATGACGAGGCTTGTCGGTGGCGGTGCGGCAGGCTGCGTCTTGACCTGGTTCGAAGCGTTTTCCTGCAAGGGGTGGAAGGTGTAACCTGTGCAGCCCTCGATATCGCTCTTCAAGGCCTCCAACTCGGATCCGCTCGGCACGGAGGATGAGTTGAAGTAGCTGCGGTCGAGTACTGGAGTGAACGTAGGCATCGGTTGTTGATCTCTCGCTGCAGAAGCGCTGGCCGCCCAGAGGACGAACACATGGTTGATGCTCTGAGCATCTCCGTAGCTGTGATGTAGTGGCATGGTCAGGATGATGCCTCCCTTGATAAAATTGACTTGGAATAAGGCGACTGGACAGCCGTCCTCGCGATGGAACCCGACTACATCTGCGCCGGGCGGTACCAAGCGAGCGTTATTATCTGAGAAGAACTTGGCCGGAAAGCCGGTAGCGGCTAAGCTGTCGTACGACGTGAATTCTGGATCCTGGTCGAGATGGTGTACGCCTAGCTGGATAGGCTCGTGATTCTTTCGTATACCCCATAGTCGACCACCTTCATTGAGGGTTTCTCCCCCAAGGAGAGGAATACAGGTAAGCACGTTCTCCAGGCCGAGTTTTAAGTTGTGCACAACCTCATCTTTGTCGCCAGCAAAAGGATACACGACACATGGACATGTGTAATTCGCAGTCATGAGCTGTTCCATGTCTGACAGCTCATACTTTGTGACATCTTCCAGCGACTCATGGTTGCGGGGGAAAATTTCAAATGCTTCAAAGTTTGTGTGTGTCGTCATGGTTATATAGTGCTTTCCAAGGTCTTCTGACTTGGTGGTACAAAGCTGTGATTCACTTGTAAAGTTGAATATATACAGTTTGAGAGACAGTTTAAATGGTGATGAATGTATGAGTGGCAATGATAAACCCGATGTTGGGAAGGAGCAAAGGTAATTGAATATATACACGTTTTCCCAGACATGGGCTGTCACACAAACGTGCGTGGGATCGACGTTTAACTATGTTAATGGTAGCAAACCAGCGCATAGCTCTAATTTCTTACACCGTAAATGGCTAGAGCACTTTAGGACAAATAATCGAGAACCCTGGTCGGCTCCAGTTTACCAACGTGAGTAGAGCCAGGCTAGACTGGTTTGGTACAAGTTGAATACCGATAGCACCAAGGCGTCTGTCTGTGTGTCTCATGGGCGCATCAACGGGAGATTTATTCGAGCTTCTCAGTAAAGACGTGTAGAAAAACGATGGGATCCATATAAGCCATCCACCATGGATGGCTGAACCTATCTTTTCGCAAAAAAGGAACCTGACGCGACCAAGCTGCGAGATATATAAATAGAACAGCGAGCAGGCCCACTATTTCTGAGAAGAGGCCTCTAATGTTGACCTCTAGCTAAAGGAAAATGAAATATGGCTACCGCCAGGCTACCCACTGTGAGATCATGTAGCCATGTATCCAAGACTAACCACATCCTTTAGACAAAACAGATCTCCCGGAACTTTCCTACCATGTGATCAGCCATCTCTTTTTAAATATCCCAATGCCGTACTGAGAGCTATGGACTGCGGGTTCATACAATCTTCCCTTGTTGACTCTACAGGTGCAGCGTATTGAGTTGAACTAACTTGGTTGTTCCTTCTTTTTTAAATATGCATTTGAATGCAAGGCACCACTTTGGGATCATACAAAAGTTTGACCGGGGCCCCTTTTACTCCTTGTTAGTTATCCATATCACCGGACACGAAGGGATGATGCTATTAAATCAGACTGCTTCTAGACATCAGTTAACTAATTTGAGAAAACCCTTTTTCAATGAAAGTCTGGATTTCATGGTACCACCAAGCTGCGATTGCACTAGACATAAGTCTACTCACGATGCATCGCCTCTTTAAACATCCAAGTCTGTACTTAAAGCCACATCCCGCACATTACTTGCATTGATGGTGAGCTTCTGAATCTTCGCTTGAAGCGTATCGAACGAATCTCTGCCCAGAATAACCCGCAGTTCTGACTCTAGGCCTGTACCTAGACCAGTTCCCGTGACAATTTCGAAAATACGTTTGGCCGCTTTCTCCGGATCTCCAGGTTGTTTCCCATGCATCCCTGATAGTATGCCTGACAGGTCAATGTATCCTTCAATCGGTTTCGGCCTGTCCTCCTCAACTGTGGTGTAGCCGAGGAAGTTCGTGCGGAACGAACCCGGCTCGACGATATGTACACGGATGCCGAAGGGCTTCAGCTCGTTGTAGAGCCCCTCCGAGAGC